TCCAACGCGAGGCCGAGTCCCACGTACAGCAACTAGAAGGATGTGAACCTATGACATGCAACTATCTACTGGGGCTTTGGGGGGAAAAAAATGAATAAATAAAATCTTTAAAAAAAAAAAAAAAAAAAAGAAATGTGTTGTTTCAAACCTGGGGATTATCTATATAAATTGCGTCACAGGAATTTAAGATGGTGGTTAAATTTCACTGGTCCAATATTTGTTTTGACTTTATCATTGAACAGGGAAGTCTTACAATCACCTAAAATATAACACACCTGTACATTAGCTTCTTCCCCTCTAGTCTTCCCTAACCACAGTCACCTAAATTCAAAAACGTGGCATCATCACTAACTCTTTTACCCTCTTTACCCAAGTATATATTTTAATCTAATTTATATGCCATCCAGACCACAGCTGTCTATCTTCTGCTCAGGCAGAGTTGCGGGAGGCCGTCAGTGGCCTTGATGAATAAGATCTGACAACACTGTGTCTACAGTGTATCACTCACCCACTGGGTAATAACTGTCAAGGAAAGAAAGGAGATGAAGCTGGCACGGCTTGCTCTTAGTAATCCCTGCTGGCTCCTGGTGATGGCAGCTTCCTCTTCCAGGCGCCACTGCCATTGCTTTAATAATGGGCTCCTGGATCTGGCCATGATCAAAATGTGCTCACCGGCATCAGACAAGTGTTCGTTGATGAGGGGGCTTTTCTTAAACAAATACTTGTTGGATTGAAGTGGCCTGGATTCTGCAGGGCATTTACCTGTTCTCTCTCACATTCTCCAACATTCTTCTAAGATGAGCCACAACCGCCTCGCTGTCTTGCTTGCAGGTCTTCTCAGGGCCCTGGTCCATGCCTCATGTGGCCAACAGACTCAAACAGCCTTGAGGGGTTTGCCCACCACCTGCTCTCCCACCTTGTGCTTCAGTCCCCTTGTAACAGGGCTGTTCTGCTCTTTCCCATCTGACAGACTCAGCTCCCGCATCTGGCCCTATAAGCTCTGCTGCTTTCCCGCCCCAATGGTCATCTCACACTCTAGGAACATGCAAGGCTCCTTCCTGCCTTGAAGTCCCTGTTCACCGGCCCCAGCTGAGAGGCTCATGTCTCCCTCCTGCCTTTAGAACCTAGTTTACATCCTGGTACCTCCAGGCCATTGCTCTCTCCTTCCTCTGAGCTTCCAAAACATTTGGCAGCCACCATCCAATCACATGCTATTTGGGATTGTAACTGCTCCCTAGAAGGGTCCCACTTGCCATAAGTGGGGATGGAAGCATCAGGACAGGGAGAATGGGATCTTACACTTCTTTAGAATCTCTCTGCAGCAACTGGTGCGGCAGTACACCACAGCAGTCCTCAGAAATGCTCGGTGGACACACTGCTGCTTCCAGCTTCCCTTCTGGTCCAAGGGGAGGCATGCAAAGTCCCTCAACTTTGATGGAAACTGTCAACTACCAACAATCTTACTACCTCAAGCAGATCCAGAGTTTATCTTGAAATGAAATAGACACTGGGCCTTTTAGAAATGGACATACTGTCTCTTCAGATGAATTTCAATGAAATTTGGTATATAGATAAGTTAGATGTGTTATTGCACCTATAAGGTTACAGTCTAAAGATACGAATTAAAGTATTCGGGATAAACTTGAAATACCAAAGTTATACTTTTGGAAAAACAACAACACTTCTCAAACAGACTGGAAATAACCAAAGTTATTTCCAAGAAACTGCCTCTTAGATCAATCTGATTCTCCAGGTGATGGTGATGAAGGCCGACATGTCTTCGACATTAGTGTCCTAAGCAGGGCTAAGCCCAACACACACAAGGATCAGACACACAGGGAGAAGCTCTCTTTTCTCAGACCTGGCTCAGTCCACATGATGCTCAGCAGTGGATGAATCAGACTTCCCCAGACATTTTGCTGGGGGCTGGCATTCAGGCCAGAACCAAGGGCGTGTTCCCGCAGGTGCCCCAGAAGCTGCAGTTAGACTGGAAGAGTTCCAAGTTACCTAAAAGTCTGACACCTAAATGAGTGTTTTTATTTTTTAAAAGGAAAATACACAGCTGCCCAAAGACAGGAAATGATTGGTGCTTTGTTTGGGGAGAATTAGGGTTTTCATTTTTCTCTCAATTTTGCTGGAAGCCTACTTCCAAAAACCAAAACAAACAAGCAAAACACCCCAGCAATTTCCCTTGCCTAAAAGAGTTGACAGCAACAAGTGAGCACCTTGTATGGCATTTAGCTCATCTGCACTGCATAAGATAAGGAGGGTGGTGGTGGTGGGGTTGTGAAATGCTAAATGTCGAGAAAATCACTTCCTTTCCCTCATCCCTCATTTTTCACATATTTGCAAACACACATGCCCTTCCTCACTCCATCTTCCCCGACCTCACCTGGTTGATAACGTAGATGCCATAGTCCAACTGCTGACGCTGAAGGATCGGGTGCAAGTAATAGAGCCAGTACTTGAGGTGTTCCTGCCGGTTGCGGAATGGAATAATGATGGCCACCTTGTGAGGAGAGACACAGTCCTTGGGGGTGTGGCGGCCGCCCACCTTCACCTCCGGGTTCTCTTCTGCCACACGCTTCAGGTCCACAGCCACGTTAAACTCGATCAGCATGGGGCCAACTAGAGAGACGGAGGAAGGAGACGTTAGCCCGACACAGAACTTGCCCGGCCACAGGCCACAGCCACAAGAGACATCTCGTCCTGGCAGGCAGTGGGGCAGTGGAAAAGGCACTCACGTCCAGCACTAGCATGGCCAATCATCCCAGGAAACCCCTCACTGCCGGGCAAACGTGGACGGCTGGGCACCCTACGAAGCACTCATCTGCCCAGGACACACACTCGTCTATGTTTCTCAGCTGTTAAATGGAAATGGGGTAATTCCTGCTCAGACTCCCGACAGGCTGTTGTAAGGATCAGAGAGCAGGGAGGAGAAAGCACTTTCTCAGAATCCCGAGGTTGACCTAGTCCCGCCACCTCCCGGCTGTGGGCTCGCTGTGTGTGTGTGTGTGTGTGTGTGTGTGTGTGTGTGTGTGTGTGTAAATCACCCTCAAACCAGAAGGTAGCCCGGCTGTGGGCTCGCTGTGTGTGTGTGTGTGTGTGTGTGTGTGTGTGTGTGTAAATCAGCCTCAAACCAGAAGGTAGCCAGGAGTGGCCTGAGGACTCCATGTCTCAGGAAGGGACTTGATACACAGATAAAAGACACTTGCCAGAGGGACTGGAGGAAACGAGACCCCAGAGAAGGAAGAGCTGGAAAGAACATCAAAGAAGAATACTTAGTATAAGTAGGGGATGAAGTACTAACAAAGGGGATGAAGAAGGGAGGAAAAGTCAGGGATGATGCCCAAGTTTCTGGCCTAGAAGCACATGGCTCCAGATGAGAGGAATTAGTTAGCAAGAGAGCTCTTAGCTTAGAAGAAAAATTGATGAAAGCTTTGAGTTAGTTGCAGGTGAGAAGCAGAAGGAAAGGCAGAGGTCAAGATCCAGATTCGGTCATGGAAGTCCTTGTCTTCGCAGTAGAAGCTGGTGGAGCTGAGAAGGCCAACTCCTGCAAGGCTAGGACCACCCTTGCGCAGCACAAGTGGTGAGGGCAGGAGAAAGATGACTGGCCCGGGACACACAGGGAATTGGGGACAGAGACAAGACTCGAACCCGGGCTCTCAGTACTCCCTGTAGGCCAGACTTTCTCAAAGTGAGTTCCAGGAAACACCAATCCCAGCGAGACGCCTAATGGAAGAACATGTCCCCTGCTGAAGTCAGGGTGGGAACTCTGCATACTAAATCCTGCTTCTGGAAAGTGACGACCAAAGGTGCTGAGAAGCTGTGCAGTCAAGAAACTCCTTTCACTTTGTTTAACCCACCATTTCCCACGCTTCTTTGGCCAGAGAACCATTTATCAGGGAGCACACTTTGGGAACTGTTACTCTAATGTAACCAGCCTCACCTGTGAAGCAAACTAGCCACGAGAACAAAGGGAAGAACCCACAGAACAGAGGTGGGAACACAGACCACAAACTCAGGGCAAGTTGATCTGAAACACGCTGGTGAGAACCACCCGGGGCCCAGTGTGCAGCACTCTGTTGCCATGTTCATCAATACTATGTGGCTCTCAAGCACCCCTGTCCCCAGAGATCACTCACCCTCCTGAAATGAGACAGCCTGAGAAAAGGAAGCTGTGACATTCATCAGCAGTTGTGGACTTGCCATGTAATCTTCCTCTCCCCATCTGGGTACCCCCAGGACTCCTCACATCTTCCCTCCCTCTGACGCTGACCCAGTTCTGTCATCACGGGACCTGTTCCCATTCATTTATTTTCTTCTGAGACACAGCTCTGATCACATTACTTTCCTGCTAAAAACCTCTGATGGCTCTAAGGCTGTGTGGCCTTCAACAAGGTAAGGCCAAACCTCTTAGCTTGGCAACCAGGCCCTTCAGGCTCAGTTCTACCTGCCCCCATCCCTGTAAACCAGGCCCACGTCCACACGTTTCCCTTTGCCGGAAACGCCTTTCCCTCTGCCCTCTACCATGCACTTTTGCACTGAGAGAGAGGCCAGAATCTTAAAATCAAAGCCCCAGCTTGGCTTGTCCTTTACCTGCTCTCCTCACTACCACAGAGCCTGGGACCGAAAGCAGACCCCAAGGGCTCCAGAAGCCCTGGTCCCTCAGGGACCAGGCCTCACAGATCAGTCCCTGACACGACTCTCTGCTGACCCAGCTCTAACCTCCCAAGGGCCCATAGGTGAGTAGGTACTGTGCTCCAGGACTAAGTAAAGGGTCACCCTAAACCAGTTTTCCCCAAACCTATCATCAGAATCTCCTGAGACAATTGGAAAAATATGGAATCTCAGGCCCCTGCCTTAGAGAGTCTGCCCAGGCAGATCTTGTGAAGGACCCAGGTAACTAACCAGGTGATTCTTTCTGGGCAAGCTGGGCAGTGGGGAGCTGGACCTGCCATCCTCACAAGCCTTGGGGCTTTCACGGAGGTAGCCTGTCCCTACAAGGCCCCCCAGGCCTGGGCTGCTCGACTCCCCAACCCTGGGAAAAGCTTGCGGGAGGCCCTGCTGCACAGCACCTTGTGAAAAACTGAACAGACCCGTCACTGGGCTCTTCTCAGTTCAAAGGGCCCCACAACATCTGCAGCCCCCCAGCCCTGCCCCACCCTTGGTTCTGAAGATGCTGCTAAACATAACTCCATTTTCAGGAACGCAAGAGGCATCTGCACTGTCATCACCCTACCAACTTGCTCACACCTTCTGAAACCAACCCAGAAGACAGGAATTCACACTTGGTCTGCCTAGCCACCCCCCCGGAGCAGACACCTGCAGGCTGGAAAGCATCTTAGTTTTGCCCGTTCAAGTGTTCCAGAAAGGTGGTCCCGAGGTACAGTTTCCTGGGCAGGAGAAAGGATGCCTGAGCCCTGCTTTAGCTCTACCAGCAACTTGCTGGATGACCTCTGGACAAGTACCATCTGCTCTCAGGATGCTGGTTTCCCATTTGTCAATTGCAGGGACTGGACCTCAATCTGCCCCTAATGAACTGTTATTCAACTCCTCCACGCCCACACCACCACCTATGGCCAAACCTGCTTCTCCTCCAGGGTTCCCTCAGCAACTGATACCACTGTCCACCCAATTACAGGAGCTCATAAGCTGAGTGGCCCATCTTCTGTTCCCCCTCCCCTTCCCCCAACCTCAGCACACACTCACACATACTCACACACAGGAGGCGTCAACAGCATATGACAATCCATGAGAGCCTACTCAAGCACCAAATCAGAGTCTTTTCCGAAGTGTTTGTTTAATGCAAACTATTCCTGCATATGTATCAAGGCCATTTTCAATTTCTTTCTTTTTTTTTACTGAGGAAGATTCATCCTGAGCTAACATCCGTTGCCAATCTTCCTCTGTTTTTGCTTGAGGAAGATTAGCCCTGAGCTAACGTCTGTGCCAATCTTCCTCTATTTTTATATAGGTCACCACCACAGCATGGCATGGTGAGTGGTACAGATCCACACCTGGGATCCAAACCCACAAACCTGGGCCGCCGAAGAAGAGCACGCTGAACTTAACCACTACGCCATGGGGCTGGCCCCTCAATTTGTTTCAATCAATACTTTCTGGGCACCTACTGTGTGCCAAGCTGTGTGCCAGGTCCAGGGAGGTGGAGGGGTGGAGAGGAGGTGATGGGATGGACAAGACAGTTCCTGACCTCAAGGATCTCCTGCTGAGCATGTGGTAGAACCTAAGTGAACCTGGCTGAACCTTGAACCTTGAAGCTGATTCAAGGCTAGCCAAGGCACTTGATCCTCCAATGGCTCCCTGCAGAGCTTCATCACTGAACAGCCTCTTCTCACTCTCCTGCTCCTCTCTGCACCCCTCTCACAACCCCCAATCCTGCCCTCCTTGCCCAATCTGGCAATTCTTTCCCCACCTTCTCTCTTTGAAGCCTCCACAGCTCTGAGAATCCTGCGGCTCACACCTCTGAGAACGGACAGTGCTCGGCAGGCAGCGGCAGCTCCAGACCTGGAGCCAAATGCCTTCTTGGGTCCAGTGCCAGCCAGGAGGCCCCCCTGGGTGCCCTGCACATCTTCTGCCACACTGAGGCTACACGCCTGGCTCTGTCACAATGAGAAAGTCCAAAGAGCTGGGACTCCAGGAGGGCAGTGACCAGCTCTGCCCAGAACCACACAGACCTGCTACCAGGTCTCAGAACCACTCCCCGGGGCCTCAGGGAGAGGCGAGGGGAGGAAGCAGAGGGCTGAGGGCTTCGTGACAGTCCTCAGGTCAAGCCAAGGCTCCCTTGCTGTGCGGCGCATGGCGTGTGCTACCACAGGCCCTCGGCCCCGCTGTGCTGCCTTGTGTGTTTTCTTGGCTCTAGGAGCTGGGAAGCAGGGTTACGTAAGCAGATGAGCAGATGTGAGCCTGTCCTCGGCTCCCCCAGCTAAAGCCCCGCCACGTGGGCCTCTCGGCTGGGAGTCCAGGTCACGGCCTTGCGTGTAAGTCACTCAATAACTTCAATGTGTGAACTCAACTCAGACAAATTCCACCACTCCACTGCCGGGCATGGCAAACCCAAACACACACATTCCCCTCCATCACAGCCCTGCTAATCTAGAGCCCGCCCAGCATGGACTCCCTGCCTCACTTTCCTGCTGGCTGAACCGCCAGTTCAGTCCTCCAGCCTCAGCAAAACAGGCTGGAACATCTAGTCACTGCTTCCCAACGGATGGGCCAGTGATCAAGACATGACCCGTTGCCTGATGCTGGGTTGTGACGATGTTTCACCAGCCTGAGACAAAATGGTAAAAGTCAACAATGCACGTTATTCTTCACTGAGCTGAATGTAATCAATGTATCAGAATGCCCTGCTTCCAAGATTAAGTGCTTCTTACTCTTTCAATGTTGAAATGTCCTTTCTTTTATGAAATGATCACGGTGGAGTTCAACTGATTTTTTTTTTTATTTAATTCTTTAAAAATCCTTATTTGGCAGCCAAGGGTCAGGCCCTTGAGCTTCTTTTGAAAATTTCCTGGGCAATGAAATTCAAACATTGGGGAACTGTGGGACTAGGCAGTGCCCAGAGCTTTCTGGTCCTATAAGTTGGGATGCTAGGATGTCCCGGC